AAGACCGGACCCAGCACCGAGGAACACCGCTGTTACAGGCCTCCAACCGGACTCTGCACCACCAACAACGACCCTCTGTGCTCTGTCAGTCAGCCAGTTCTCAACCCACCTCACTGTCCACTCATCTATCCCACACTTCCTCAGCTTTGTTATAAAGATGTCGTGGGGGACAGTATCAAATGCCTTGCTGAAATCAAAGTAGACTACATCAACTGCTCTCCCCCTGTCCACCCAGCCAGAGACAACATCATAGAAGGCTACCAGGTTGGTCAAGCACGACCTCCCCCTTGTGAACCCATGCTGACTACTCCTGATAACCTCCTCTTCTTCCAGTTGTCTGGAGATGACATCCAATACAAGCTGTTCCATCACCTTTCCAGGGACAGAGGTGAGGCTGACTGGCCTATAATTGCCTGGGTCTTCCTTCTTGCCTATTTTGAAGACCGGGGTGACGTTGGCTATCTTCCAGTCTTCAGGCACCTCCCCCGTCCTCCAAGACTTCTCAAAGACGACAGAAAGCGGTTCAGCAATCACCTCTGCCAGCTCCCTCAGCACCCGTGGATGAATCCCATCGGGTCCCATGGATTTATGAACATCGGTGTTGCCTAGGCGCTCCTGGACCACCTCTTCCCTGACAGAAGGGAGGTCTTCCATTCCCCAGATCCTCTCACTAACCTCCAGGGTCTCAGATTCCCGAGGGGGAGCTTTTTCACTGAAAACAGAAGCAAAGAAGGCATTCAGTATCTCCGCCTTCTCAGCATCCCCTGTTACCAGAATACCCCTGTCACTTAGCAGGGGAGACACATTCTCCCTAGTCTTCCTTTTACTGTTAATGTACTTGAAAAAACCTTTTTTATTATCCTTTATCCGCTTTGCCAGATTTAATTCCATGTCGCATCCCTGCAGACCCTGACAACATTCCTGTATTCTTCCCAAGTAGTCAGACCCTTTTTCCACATTTCATGGGCCTTCTTCTTTCCTTTGAGTTTGTGCACGAGCTCCTTGCTCATCCACACAGGTCTCCTGCCACCCTTTCCCGATTTCTTCCTCACAGGGATGCACCGATCCTGAGCTTGGAAGAAGAGCTGCTTAAATGCCAACCTGCTCTCACAGGCCCCCTTGCCTTCAAACACCCTAGCCCATGAGACAGCTCCAAGTAGGCCCCGGAAGAGATCGAAGTTGGCTCGCCTAAAGTCCAGGATAGCAATCCTACTTTTTGCTTTACTTCTTCCACTCAGGATCTTGAACTCCACCATCTCGTGGTCACTACAACCCAAGCTGCCCCCGACCTTTACTTCCTGACAAGCCCTTCTCTATTAGTGAGAATAAGGTCCAGCAGTAGCCCTCTCCTCGTCGATTCCTCAACCACCTGCATCAGGAAGTTGTCTTCAACAGATTGCAGGAACCGTCTGGACCGCGCATGCCTGGCCACATTGCTTTTCCAGCAAATATCTGGATAATTGAGGTCCCCCATAAGCACCAGCGCCTGGGATCGTGACGCTGCTTCCAACTGTTTGTGGAAGGCCTCATCAACCTCCTCCTCCTGATCAGGGGGCCTGTAGCACACACCCACAACGGTGTCAGCCATACCAGCCCGCCCCTTGATTCTTACCCACAAGCTCTCCACTGCTACACCACTCTCCCCCAGGTGGAGTTCAATACATTCAAGCTGCTCTCTTACATAAAGAGCAACTCCAGCACCCCGCCTCGCCGGCCGATCTTTCCTAAAAAGCACATAGCCCTCCATGACAACATTCCAGTCATGCCAGCTGTCCCACCACGTCTCTGTGATCGCAATGAGATCATAGCCATGTGATCGCATGCAGATCTCCATCTCTTCCTGTTTATTTCCCATACTGCGCGCATTAGTATATAGACACTTCAGGGAGGCAGCATTCCCCTGCCACACTCCATCCCTTTGAACTCCACCCTCGTCACCCATCAAGTTCACTTTTGAACCTTGAACTACCTGAACCTCAGCAGTCCTCATTTTGTCCCCTTCCCCCTTCTTACCTAGTTTAAAGACCTTTCAATGAGGCCTGCCAGCTCCTGGGCTAGGATCTTTTTACCCCTTGTAGACAGTTGAGCTCCATCTGCAGCCGTCATGCCAGGAGCTGAGTAAGTTGCCCCATGGTCAAAAAAACCAAAGTTCTTCTGCCTGCACCATCCTCTAAGCCATTTATTGATGAGGAGGGCTTTTTTGATCCTCTCAGAGTCCTTCCCCGCCACTGAAGGGATAGAAGAGAAGACCACTTGAATTCCTGCACCATCCAGTACCCTCCCCAGACCCTTGAAGTCATTTTTGATTGCCCTTAGGCTTCTCTTGGCAGTATCATCACTGCCAACCTGAACTACCAATAAGGGGTAGTAGTCAGACTGGCGAATAAGCCCAGGCAGCTTTCTAGAGATGTCCCTGACCCGTGCCCCAGGAAGGCAGCACACTTCCCTCCGGGTGGGGTCAGGACGACATATCGGGCCCTCAGTTCCTTTTAGAAGGGAGTCTCCTACAACTATCACCCTCCTTTCTTTACCAGAAGAGGCGGTCTTCAAGCGTGGAGCCGACCGCTTCTCCTTAGCAAAGCTCAGAGGCTATTCCACCACCTTGTTCTCAGCCTCCTCACCCTCCAGTTCCAGGGTTTCAAACCTATTACTTAGGGGCACCTGAGGAACCGAGGTAGGTCGGGGAGGGCGCCACCTGCTTCGCTGAGGTGGGACCTGCTGCCATTCCTCTTCTCCTCCCAAGTCAGCTCTCTCGGTTTTACTACGGTAAGGCAGAGAATCCACTACAGGCTGGGGGTTGCAATCTCTGCTTGTTTCTTGCAGAGAGTTACACCACCAGTCTGTCTCCCTCTCGCAGTCCCTAATGGATCTTAACCGCTCCACCTCCTCCCTAAGCTCTACCACAAGGCTGAGCAGCTCATCCAACTGTTCGCACCTCACGCAGGTGGCATCCCTCCCATTGTCCCCCGGCAGCAGCAGACTCAGGCACTCCCTGCAGCCAGAGACTTGAACCGCTGCAGTTCTGGGCAGTCCCTCTGTCTGGGTCGCCACAGACTTGTTGGAGCATGCCCGACGCCTGGTAGAGACCATGTCTGAACTTACAGTCATTGTGTCAGCGAGTGGGAGAGCAGTCACCTGAACAAAGACAAGAACCCTTGGGTCTCGAGGTGCCCTAGGGATGGCCCAGGGTCACTGTGCAGATGGGACAGGGGCTGTGGCTGCTGTCCCCAGGGGACAACACCTTGCCCTGGGCTGCTGCCAGCCCTTCTCCTGCCCAAAATCCTGGGGCACAAACCCTGCTGGGACAAGGCTTCTCCTCGGTCAGTGACAGCTTTTGACATCCTCTGCTGACCCGTGGAGTCCCTTGAAGGAAGCGAAGACCCTGAAGGTCTCTGACATTCTCCAGAGATCAACAAAGCCCTCAGCAAAGCCACACTCCGTGTCCGTGTCCTCGTCCCCACGCTCAGCAGGGACCGCTCATGTCTGTCCCTGCCTGGCAGAGGCCACCTCTAAGGCTGGGAGGGTCCCCAGCTCCGTGCCCCGCACCCCACGTCCCGCACCTCGGGCCTGTCCATCCTTGCAGGCGTGCAGCCGTCCCCGCGGCGACAGTGCATGCGTGGCGGCGTCTCCATGGCGACAGCGCCTCAGCGCTACAGCGACGCGCCATCCCCGCCGAGTGACGTCATCGCCTTGCGACCCCAGGAGGCGGCCGTGCAGAAGCGGCGCGGGGCAGCCCGGGGGGCTCCGAGCACCGCCTCGGCTTCTACAGGGGGCGCCGGGGTTCGGGTGCTGGGGGCCGCTGCCGCTCAGCGTCGGCCCCGCGGGGTCTCTGTGGTGCTCGCGGCTTCCGCTCGGCGGGGGCGGCTGCCCCGCGTCTCCCCGCCTCCCCCACCCCATGTGTTTCGCTGCCCTCCCCCTTTTACTCCCTGCTGCGGATCGCCTGCACCCCCCGGTTCCTCTGTGTGACCCCGGGGTTACACCCTCCCCCTGTTCCCCTCCCGTCCAGTTCCCCCGTTCTGATCACTGCAGTCCTCTTCCACCCCTCATCTCTGTGCCTCCCCCATTCTGATCCCCAGTCCCCCCCCCCCCACGCTCCCTCATCCCTCCCCAATCCCCCGTTCTGATCCCTCGTGTCCCCCATTCCCCCCACCAGTCTCCCCATTCTGTCCCCTACGGCCTCCCCCATTCCCAGTCCCCTCTACCTGACCCCCAGAATCCCCTCTCCTCCCCCCTAGTGCCCCCACTCCAATTCCCCCATTCTGATCCCTAGAGTCTCCTCCCACCCCCCATTCCCCTCTGTTTGACTCCCAGGGTCCCACGTCCTCCCTTCTCCCCCCACCTCCTGCCCCTTTTTCTGACCCCTAGAGTTCCCTGCACCCCGTGTGCTGCTCACTGATCCTTGGAGTCAGTTCCCTCATTTTGATCTCCAATCCCCCCCAGCCGGACCCCTTTTTTGCCCAATAGAAGCCTCCCACGACTCCTGGTTCTTCCCTCCCACCCCTCCCTCCACCCCCAGATGCTCTTCCTGCCTTGTAGAGACTCTGTTCACCTCTTTCCCCCCCACAACCCTAAGTTTCCCCCCAGACTCTTTTCTGACCCCATAGACATCGCACTCTCCTCCCCCACTTTCTACTTCCCTTAGGTCTCCCCCAGACTCCCACCCCACAGAAGCCCCCTACAACCCTCCAGATTTTCCCTGCCACCCCCTTCCACTCCTAGCTCCCCTTTCCTCCCAATAGAGACCCAACTTGCCCCTTTTTTCCCCCCACACAACCCCCCTGTCCACTCCCAGACCCCCCTTTTCACCCTACAAAAGCCCCTTTCCCCCTTTCAAGTTCCTTTCCCCCTTTCCCCCCTCAAGTTCCCCTCCACAATGTAGCCCTCCATCCCCATGCCCCCTTTTCACTCACAGAAGCCTCGTTCTGTTCTTTTCCCCCCTCACAACCCCCTCTCCCCATCCTCAGACCCCCTTTCCACGCCATAGAAGCCCCTCACCCCTTCCAACCTTGTTCCACCTCCAGACCCTCTTTCCACCTCACAGAAGCCCCACTCACACCTTTCTCCCCATAGACTCCCCACAAGCCCCCTGTCCACCCCTGGAGTTGTGCAGAATCTGGAAATGTCCCAGAGGGGCTTGCAGCATCCAGTTGGTCCCCAGGTGGGTCACAGGTGTCCTTGGATTCATACAGAAGGGTCTCAAGATGTCCCAGAGGTGTCCTGGGGTTTCCAGGGGATCCCCAGGGGTTCCTGGAGTCCTCCGGAGGTCTCCTATGGGGACTTCGAGCACAATCTCACATAGCAACATGTTCTCTCTCCACTCTGTCCCCATGGGATCACCCCCAAAAATGTCTGTTTCCATTAAAATCAATACTGTGTCATTTTTGTTGTATTTTTTTTGCCACTTCCTTTCAGAAATGGATGGTTCTCACCAAATGCCACCACCAGGACAACCGCCTGCCCCCACAGTTCTGTCACTGTCACCATGGAACCTCGCTGTGGACCAGCCATGACGCAGTGCCTCTGTCCCTGGCTGTCACTCTTGTTACCGTCATCCGGTGTCACCACCACGTGTGTGTCACCATCTCTCAGGTGACACCATTCCCTGCGCTCTGACCACCACATGGGGGCAGACACAGGCGGCCCCGCGTTGTCACTGTGCTGTCACTGAGCCTCTCGCTGTCCTTTCTCACCCCTCCAGCCTTGTCTACAGCCGGACCCGCTGACACCAGAGCCCTCTGGCACTGTCACCATCATCTGCCACGAGGACGGGGACATGCACAGTGATGGACTCTGTGCCATCACCAGCCAACATCAGGTGTCACTGTCATGCAGAAGGCACACAAGCACCCCCTGAGGACCTGCCGAAAACTTCTCCATAGCTGGGCTTTCCAACAAGTCCTCCTGTATTGCTTCTCTTATGCCCAGCTCATGAATGTAATTCTGAAGGTCCTCCATGGAGGACCACAATCCTGTGCTTAATGCAAAGCCTGATTTGTTCGGCCAAACCACGTGGATGCTGCCATTCACCAGTCTGTTATCTACTGGTTCTCACTGCTCTATGAACAGCAGCATACAGTCTCTGCCTGAGGGCAGGGTTACCGTCATGGTGGCCAGCTTTGATACCTCTGGCCCATTCACCATGACGCTTTCCGCCCCTGAGTCCCATAACCCAAGGAACCACTCTTTCGGCCTCTTTTCGGCCTCTGCCGAAATGCTGCAGCACACCCATCAGTTCTGTTGGTGCACGGCCTCGCCGCTACATGTAAATGTGTTTGGACAGGGGGCCGTTGGGCAGGGGGCACCCCGCCGGTCTGCCTTGTAACTCCTTTGTCTTTGGGTTATAATGGGATGGAGTTCCAAGGAATCCATCATAAGTGGAACCTCTAAATCTGACCTAAAGTTTTGTTTTCCTGTTCAACAGGTCCGTTCCTGCAGAGGTGTGGTTACTATCTACTGAAATACTGAGGATCTGGCCTATCAGGGAATATCAAGCTGGTCTTTCCCCTGTGAGTACGTTAAGATCCTGCTCCAGTTTTTCAGTGCGATCCTTTAATAGCTGATTTTCACTTTCTAAGGTACCAGCTCTTAGCTTGATGTAAGGCATTTAACTGTGGAGGCAGCTAACTGCCTTTCTTTTGTAGTCAGGATGCCTCTGTCTAATCCTTGAAAGCATTTCATCATGCGGAATGGGGAAATATTCCCCATGGTACGCAGGGGACCCCATTTCTCAACTATGGTGCTAACTGGTAATAAGGAGAACCCAGGAACACTGTGATCTGCCTGGGGATCATTTTATCCAAGGGGGTGATGTTCTCCCCCTGACTCATTTATAGAAATTCCATAAAAAGGACATGATGTAAATTTTAGTATATTTGGCCTGCCTTGCTCACCAAGTGTACAATCAATGAATGTATAGATGTTATAATTATGAAATACACCAGAGAGCTTGGCTAAGTAGCTGTTATACCAAAAGAGAACAGATAGGATGCTTACCTGTATCCTGGGCTCGTTATGAAACTCCAGAGGAGGGATCTGCAGAAAAGATCCCTACACGCAGCCAGCTTTTCCATGGGTCTGGGAGAGGTGCAGCCAGGCTCCCCTCCTTCCAGCAGCACAGCCGAATCGCCTTCACCTGTGCTCCCTGGCTGAGGCATTGCTACCTCAGGTGCTCCATCAGAGGTTCAGGCCGTGGTTCAGCAGTTCCCACATGAAAGTGAATTTCAAGGAGCTGGTTCTGCTTGCTCCGTAGATTGCAGCTCCTCTGAGTGCAGCTGTCCGCTGCCAGGCACAAGCAAGGAGGGCTGCAGTAGCAAAACTTATGGAGCAGATTTTGTGCTGAAATGGCTACACGTGCTTATGCAAACACTGCGGCTGGGAAGCCCACAGCAACAGCTGGAAGCCACACAACATCCCAACAATGCAGCAAGAAGACCTGAAATTTCTACCACAGAACTAAATTCTGATGGTTTTGATGATTTCTGAGTCCCATTCGGGTGAGAATCCTGCTGAAGCGTAAAGGCTGAGACACTGAAAAAAGGAGCATCTTTGCTTAAAGAAGGGTGGCAGCATTTGGACCATGACTGCACCCCCTCCTTTGGTCCTCTCTGCTTCCAAAGTAACTATGGTGCAACAAATATGGAGTGTAAGGTAATACAAGGCTTCTGCTGACTGTCTCAGGGAACAAGCGAGAGCCTCTTTATCCCCCCACCCTTCCACACTGACATGCAGCATCAGAACTGACCCTGTGTGAGAAAAGCAGGGCACGGCAGTGCTCAGCTACCAGCTGCCCTGTCCTCTGATGATACCTGAGCCAAGCCAGTTCTCAAGTTTGGAGGCACGGATGGTTTTCCCTTAGGCCAAGTTGCTGTCTGCTCGTCCTGCTCCTGTTGGGGTTGTTTTGGCAAGAGGCGGCAGAGATCTTCCTTTTTCTTATGCTGTACAAAACATACTTTTCTGGACAACTGATGCCCAGCAAACTTTCTGCACAACCTGCTCAGCCCGTGCAGTCTCCTGCCACATCCACAGATCACTGCAATTCCCATCTTAGTGCTGCTGCCTTTACACTCATTACAGGCAGGCAGGGGGATGTTCTGGGGGGCTGTGGTGTACAGCAGGTGTTCTCCAGGGCCCATTTCATTGTAAGCTCTCACTTCACAGCTGTGGTGACTGCAGCAGGCAGGGTTAGGTGATGTGGGGGGTCTTCCCGGCCCCTTCCCTTGCCCATCTAAATAAAGCAGACCTCTTACTGTCTGCAATATGCAATACATACCCCAAGTCAGCCTCCTCTCTCACCACCGCTCTTTGTTATTTCTGTAGAATTATTGCTGCAGTACACTGGAACATGGAAACAGGACAGAAAGTAAGACCAGGCTCAGCCCGTATGTGAAATACTGTCCCTTCAAACATCACGACCACAAACACATTTTTACATTTAAAACTGTTTTGAATTCCAACAAGGTAGAAGAAGCATTCACTGACTGAATAATAACATCTACCTCTGAGTGGATTTTCTAAGAGCCTGCTGAGACTCTCCACATGGTACTCAGAACTGGAAGTTTGTAATGGAAAATGCTGACAAACTGCAGCGGTATATGGATCATCTCTTACGAACAAAAATAAAGTGACCAAAATTACAGTGACCAAAGCCTCATTACTCACTCACTGTCATCTCTGCTTCTTAAACCGTGATGACTTCCTAAAATGCTTTCCAACATACGCAAGGACAGCAATTATAACACTAAAGACTATTTCATTTGTAAGTAACTTTCCATTAGGGATCTGAATTTGAAAATGCAGCCAACAAAGTTCCTTGAAGCACATGGAATGACTTCCTTGGGTCTGGGCCAGGCACTCTGCTTCATTTTTCTGGCTTTGCCACTATATTTTAAGCAGTAGACATTATTTTACAGATGTGAAAGGCTTTCACTGCAAAGTTAGTTACACCTTTGCTTCATTCAAAGCTTTCTAGAAAACATGTATTTATCTTCAGTGGTACCAGCTTTAAATCATCTTAATGCAACCTGACCTAGCCATGTCCTCTTCCTCTAAAGCAGGCACCTCCCTGGCTCATCAATCCATGGAGAATTATAGGATAGGCACCTGACAGAAAAATATTCTGTCTCTACCACCAAATTGCACAGAGAGACTAAGAAAACAGTCTATGTGAGCCAAAGCCTTGTCTGCACCCTCAGAGACAGCTGAGTGACACAAAGCTGTGGGCAGCTCCCTGGTACAGGAACAGTCTGGTGAAATTCAATGGACAAAGACCATCTGCAGCCCTGGATCACAGCGAGTGCCTGAGCCCCTGGACTACTGCGAGAGCATTTCACAGTCATGGGAACCACCCCACACCCTGCTCTGCCTTCCTGTATCCATCCCACACTGGGCACGTGCCGAGGGAGTTCTGGGAAGGATGAGCTCAAGGTGAGAGTGGAGAACTGAGCTTCTGGAGGGGGAGCAGAGGGATGGGGCAGGTGCATGACCCAGCCTGGCACCCACACCCCAAACCTGCTTCAGTTTGCAGGTGGCCTCAGAGATGGCAAAGCTTGAGGTGGGAGCCACCTTTGAAGCCAGCAAGGAGAACCCAAGAGAAGCCCACAAGCAAGGCTGGCCAGCGGAGCAGTGTGCCAGCCCCACGGCCCAGGCACAGCCCCTCTATGGGAGGTGTCCCAGCACTTGCTGTGCCCACACTGAAGCCTACAAGTGACTCTTTTCCAGCTTTTACTCCAAAGGCAACCACCCCATCATGTCTCTGCTGGCCAAGAAGAAGCTGCTGGCCCAGGTGAGTGAGGCAGAGTCCTGCCACTAACACCACTGCCTGGAGGGCAATGGGGCGGCGAGCAGCACTCACCCCAACCCAGAGCCCAGCCGGCTGGCAGCCAGCCCCCACTTCAAGGAGCAGAGGAGCCCGGAGACACAAGGATTGAAGGACGCATCCAGGGGAGACTGGAGTGAGGCAGGACCCATCGCAGTGCTCCCCTGGGAGGACAGACAGACAGCCCTACCCAAGAGCTGAGGATGGGGGCCCTGCACCCACTGTCTTCACCGGCTTCTTTCATGCATACTGCCATAAGGCGCTGAAACACATCAGCTGCCACCCCTTTGGGGGTTTACTTCTCCAACTTGAAGGATTTCTTGGAACCACAAGCTGAGGACACGGAGGATGACTGGAGGCAGCCCAAGACCTGTCAACCAAAGCGTGGAGCAGAGAGAGCCCGCAGCCAGCCACCTCTGCTGCTGTCAAAGCTTGCTGGGTGCCCCCTGGGGCCAGCTTCAGCCCACTGACATGGAGCCCCACACCACCCACAGCCAAGTGGAACCAGGATGAGGCAGCCTTGGGCCTGCAGGCTGTTTACCACTTTGTCCGTGAACCTGAAGGCAGGGGCAAGAGCACTGGGTCACCCAGGGGCCACCAAGAATTGGCCAAACCTAAAGCCATCATTTCCAGACCCAGCTATGCCATTCCACTCACCCCAGTGCCTCAGCCCCAAACGTTTACAAGGGAGAGATGCTGCATTTCCTGCATCTTCAGCAATCTCCAGAGCACCTAAAAAACTGGGCAGCCACACCAAAGCCATCTCTCTCCATTATCCCCTTTGTTATCCTTGTTTTCCCCAGCCCTGCCATAACCAGCTTGTACAGCCCTCCAACCCCAGGCACCACCAACATCCCACAAGGGTTCACTGCAGCACCAGCTCTACCCCACAGCGACGTGGCACAGCCAGCACACCTACAGCACTCCACACACCTCCGCTTCCCACTGCAGCACCAAGTTGCTGCCTTGCTCTGGATCAGCCCTGGCCCTTCAGAGAGGCAGGCAGCTGGATGCCGTAGCACTGGGATGCTGTCAGAGCTGCTGTGTCCCATGGCCAAAATGAGCTGGACCGTGTCATTTTTTAAAAAGGTAAGGGAGCAGAATGAGTTGCAGAGTTTTCTTGCTAGAGATGCTGTGCCCCCGTGCACTGGGCCTTTTTGCTGTT